TTATATATATATATATATACACATGCATTGTATACGGTAGACCCTGTTCAAGCCGACTACTTTTGCCCAAGTGAACATTGGTCAATTTAGACAGGTGATCCTGTATGAACTGTGTTGGAAAAAAGTAGCCAAAAGGGGATGTGGGAAATGGTCATTTGTACATGTGATTGTTTCTGACAGGTAGCGGTTAGAGCAGGTTCCATTGTATTTAAATATTGTCTTGTATTTATAATAATAATATTATATACCATTGTATTTAAATATTGTCTTGTATTTATAATAATAATATTATATACATACATATATATATATATATATAATGTTAACAACGTCATTAAATAAATGTAGCTAATCATAATCACAACTTATCATGACTCATGATGGGAAATAACGAGCCCCGGCATCTTTGGTGCAGTTGTGAGACTCTTTGCCGATGTATGCAGAAGACTAGACATGGATTCGCCGTCGGGTAAGTAAAGTTCTTGTAGCACGACGTATCTCCGTCAGAGCGTCTCCTAGGAAGTTATGTCCCACTTAGCCCGTGTAATTATCTGACTGCTCAGGGCTGAAACAGACAGTTTCATCCCAGCATCTTGTCCTTTAACTCTTAGTATACTATTATAATAGTAAAAATAAAACTGAAGAATTTACCTTGGTATGCAATCAATGTTGTCCTGCAAGTTTTCAGCATTATAAGTGTCCCTAAATAGCCATACCTTTATATAGTCTATTTACATTAAGATAAACTCTAAACTGAGAAGAAGTGAATGATCCAAGCAATTAATTTACAGTTGGATTAAACTTGTAATACTATGATTATGATTATAATTTGATTATAGTTATATATAAAACGAGTTGTCTGGGGTTTAGTAGACTTTTGTTACAACTGCAAACAGCCTCGCGATGTTACAAACAAGCTGAACTGATCGAACACTCGTCTGAAGACGCATAATATTATTATACACGAATCTTATTTTTAAATATTTTGATTAGTCTTCCAATAACAAGAAGAGTGATCGGCAGCCACAGTGGGTGATTGTCCTTTTTCGTATGTGTTCGCTTACCAGATCTTGGAATGATAATAATGCTAACGATGATGATGATGATGATGATGATGATGAAGACAATAATAATAATAA